TATTTGAACCCTGCATCCATAACTTCCTTGAAAAACATAATATTCATGTGTTCTTCTTTCTATGTTCTTTTTGCCTGTGTCAGAAAGGATAGAAATGAGTGTCCATGTCTTTAAAATGTAACGTTAGAAATGGCTCTCTTGGGCTCGACAGTGGATTTTTTCTGCTTTTATCATGGGCTTATTTGAAAGGTATTCAAGTCTTGATTTGAAACTTTAGTCTAGAATCCCAGCTCCCTACTGAGAAACAGCATCTTTTAGAGCTGGACGTGTGCTATGAGACCTCAGTTGGCTTCTCGTCTACCCCCCTGTGTCCTCATTCATTGGTATCTCAGAGCCATGCGTATATAAAAAGGGCAGTTAACTAGAGCTGAAACTAGTATTCAAAGTGAATAGAGAATGAAGGGGTTTTTACAAATTCCTTTTCAAAAGAAGAAAAGGGAAAGTGTACATTATATGTCAGATTTTGCAGCATGCCTGGCAGACAGCTTTCCATTAGTTGTTAAACTCTCCTTGTTTTCCAGCATCTTAATTTGATGTTTACTGTTTGTGAATTCATTATTATTTGTCGAAATACTTGCACTTAAAAACCTAGGGATGTCACGTGGTTTTATGTTGTGAATTAAAATCTGTTGTCACCCAACTTGTCACAAGTAGCTGGTGAAGCAAAATGTTTATTTTACCTTTCTTGGGGCCCTGTTGATGTGACAACAGCACTCACTGGACTCACCCAGAAAAAGATCACTGAAATATCTATCTATATATTTAAACTGACTGTCATTAATTTGCTTATTTCAGATTGACTTGCTCTAATATGTTTAAAGCACTTCTGTTTGTGCAAGTTACTTCTGTGTGTACAGATGTATCCAGAATTGAAATATTTGCTTAAGCTTATCTGATTTTGATGTCTAAATTTCCATAGCCTGTATGTATGTATTGATAGACAAGCATGGCTATTGTAAGGCCCCATATGCAAGACTTCCCTTGAAGATCTCATAGAAACTTCAGAAGGGGAGAGGAGAGCTGGTGCAAAGGAAACCTGTGACATGCGTGTGTTGCACATGTTTTTGTCTTTCTCACCAGTACTATTATTTGACCATAGTTTTATAATATACGCTGGAAAATCAGCAAAGAAAAAATTAACCTGTCTTTGGTGGTACAGGAGAAAGTAGGACAGAGGCCCAAGTGATGGAAAGGAAGCTATGGGCGAGCAAAGAGGTGCAATAGTAGTAGACATGGGAAAAGGGGAACAGGAGGCATGGTGGGCAGGCAGCATTCAAAGAAACACAGGTGCAATCAAGACCTTTGGTGAGAATGACCATATTTAGAAATAGTGACATGGAGTCAGTGAGCCCACTGCAACAGCAGTGTCACCATCTCCGTGGCCTAAATGAACAGCTTCCTCTATTATTTGCCCACTGCATCAGATGAACTCATCACACACCAAAAAAAAAGTTTCCTAGGATTCTTCTGCCCCAGTTCATTAATGGAGCCCCACACTGCCCATTAGATGACATAGGTTGACTTCTGGCGGGGACTTTGTGGGGTGGTAGCATGGTAAGATGCTGTGTTGCCAACACAGTAGCCTCCCTGT